TTGGGAGTTTGACAATAAAATCCATTGCAATTTCTTCCCAAGGTCTGCTGGGGCTTGCCACTTGTTGAAGGAGTCCAGGGGGCTTTTCTGGTCTCATATTCATGACAGCACAAATGGCACAACGTAGTCCTCCACATCCACTTTCATCTTTGCCCACCAGAATTGTCTTCTAGGCAGGTGCAGGGTTTTCAAGAACCCGAAGTGGCCAGCCAGCCTTGAGTCATGGCTGCACTGTAGAATCTCCAGTCTCAAGCTTGTGGTGACATATAGCTTGGATCCCTTCCATGCTAGCCCATCCCTCACAGTCCAAATGTCTTTCTTATCTGTGAGCCAGGGATCAGCGGGAAGCGTGGGTTTTAGTGCAGCTGTCAGCTTGTCCTGTCTGGGGTTGGGTGGCCATCTGGCCTGGCCTCTGGTGGTGACCTGTGCGACTTGTTGTGCAGGGGGAATGATGGCATGGACGACCTCTTCCTTGCAGCTGTCAAACTGCAGTTTTCTTGACAAGGCATCGGCTAGCAGATTTTTCCCCTCTGGGATGTACTTCAGCTTGAAGTTAAATTGTCTGAAGTATTGTGCCCAACCGATCTATTTAGGAGATAATCTTCTAGGGGTTTTTAGGGCCTCGGGGTTCTTATGCTCAGTCCAAACCTCGAAAGGCACCTTACCCCCTTCAAGAAAATGTCTCCAAGAGAGGAGGGCCCAGTGGACTGCGTAGGCTTCCTTTTCCCAAATATCCCACCTCCTCTCTGTATCAGTAAGCTTCTTGGACACATATGCACAAGGCAAGAACTGTCCTTGTGGGTCTTTGGCTACCTCGCTAGCGTCAGCTTGGATGATGAACTGTCTCTCAGGGTCTGGGTGTTGAAGGATCGGTTCCTCTGCAAAGAGTCTTTTTAATTTTTCAAAAGCTCTTTGGCAGTCCATCAACCAGGTGAGCAGTTGATTCGGCTGCAGTCTGGCAGGAGGATGTCCAGTTTTCAGTAGCTCTGTCAAGGGGAGAGCGACTTCTATGAAAGCTGGAATAAATTGCCTATCAAAGTTTGCAAACCCTAGGAAACTTTGAAGTTGTTTGCAGGTGTGTGGGGGTTTCCAGTCTAGCACTGCTTTTACTTTCCCTGAGTCCATTTCTACTCCTCTGCTGGAAATTCTGTAGCCGAGGTAATCTAGGGAGGTCTTGTGGAATTCACATTTTGACAGCTTCGCATAGAGCTTGGTGGCTAGGAGGTTTTTCAGTACTCACTGCACCAGCTTTACATGCTCTTCACGCGTTTCACTGAATATAAGAATGTCATCTAGGTAAACTAGGACCCCCTTGTATAGCTGCTCATATAGCACCTCATTTATTAGTTGCATGAAGACTGTCTCTGAAAATATCCATGTATCTTATTTTTCCCATACCACAGAAAAGCATGCCACCCCAGTTGTAAATCATGACCTTCCAAAGTCAATAGTCTTGTATTCCTTAATACAATCCACTCTTTCATCCATGTTAATACCACAGCCTGGTAATATAATTCCCAGTTTGGTAGCCCAAAACCACCTCTGCTTCTTATATCTTGCATCATTTTCAGGCCAATTCTTGCTTTTTTCCCTTGACAAATATATTTGTATATTATTTTGTTAAGTTCCTCAAATATTTTTTCCCCCAATTTTATCGGAATTGTTTGGAATTAGTACCTTGGTGATAGGTTCATGTTAATTGTTGCTACTCTTCCTACCAGTGATAATTGTAGGTTCTTCCACTTTCCGGGTCTATTTGAATTTGTTTTAACCACTTATAATAATTATCTTCTTTAATTGTTATACATCTTGTCGTCAACTGGATCCCTAGGTACTTAACTTTCTTTACAATCTGAATGTCTATTCTCTTTGTTAACTCTATTTTTTGCTTATCCATAATGTTTTTAACTAAAATCTTAGTTTTCTCTTTATTTATTTTCAAACCTGCCACTTATCCATATTCTTCTATTTTTCTTATTAATTTAGGTCCTATTACTAGTGGCTCTTCCACAATAAAGGCTAGGTCATCTGCAAACGCCTGTTCCTTTTTAATCTCCATACCTTTTATCTCTATATCTTGTCTAATGTTCCTGTTTAATATTTCCAGTGTCAATATAAACAATAATGGGGACAGAGGACATCCTTGTCTTGTACCTTTTTTAATGCTAACTTTCTCAGTCATATCTCCATTTACCATTATTTTTGCTGTTTCTTTATGGTATATCACCTTGATCGTATTAACAAATCTCTCCCCAAAGTCCATCTTTTTAAGCTGAATTAACATAAATTCCCAGTTCACATTATGAAATGCTTTCTGTGCAGGGGTGGTTTCCGGCAGTCACTACTGCTGGTTCGTTCATGGGCGCACCCCGTGCACATGCGCAATGCAATAAAAATTGCTCTGTGCATACACAGAAGCAAAAAAGAAGACCCAGGCCGCCAAACCACTACCAGATCAACACTATTTGCTTCTCTGGATGTGCTTCATAATATTCCAAAGTGTTCAAGATTATTCTCATGTTATCTTTGATTTGCCTCTTAGGTAAAAAACCATTTTGGTCTGGATGTATAAATTGGTTTAAAAATTGTTTTAGCCTTTCTGCCATTATTGAAGCAAATATTTTATAATCCACATTCAACAAAGATATTGGTCTGTAGTTTTTTATTTGTTATAAATCTGCATCTTCTTTCGGTATAAGGGTAATACAGTATATGCTTCCATCCCAGTAATGGTAGCCTCTTTTCTTCACTACCAGTTTGGTAGTGGGAGCTTCTCGTCGTTTTACCTCTTCCTTGTCACTTATACTTATTTCCTCTGGCAGTCCAAAATATTGCTCATAGAATAGTTCTGCTTTTTCTATAGAATCCAATCTGTATCTTTGCTCCATCCAGGTCACCAATATTCCCTCCGGGATCAGCCATCTAAAATTTACTCCATGCTTTATTAATTGTTTTGTTAAAAACTGGTACGCTCTTCTTATATCTCTTACTCTCCTTGGGACCTGTTTCAGTACTATGGTTTCCTTCTCCTTGTATTTTAAAGGCTCATCTCTCGCTCTTTGTAAAAATTCTGCCTTCATTGCTTTTTTTCAAGTTTTCAATTTTCAGTCTAACCAACTTATATCAACAAAGATATTCTAGCAGTCTATTCATATCTTTGTTTATAGAATTTCTCAAGGTTAAATCTGCTGTTCCCAGCTTCCACTTCCAACTTCTGCCAGTAGATGGCCTTCTGACTCTGCTTCTCTCTCTTTCTCCTCTCCTTTCTCTCTTGGAAAAAAATATTATAATAATACAAAAAAGGCAGCTCTATTTGTCCAAATATTGTAGTAGTCAAAGCTTCTCTACAGTCCAATAATATATTTGAGAGACCCGGTCCAGCTTTTAAGTCCAGAATATTTTCACACTTTTTCTAAAAGTTTTAACTTCCTGTTCCAAGATGGCAAAAGCTCTCCTCGCCGCTTTTCAGGGGAGGTGGAGGAAAATAAAAACCAAATCCACCTCCTTTAGCGCCCCACTTGCACCAGCTGTTTTCCCAGGGGACTTTCACCCCACTTCTAACAAAAAAAAAAAGAACAAAATTGGAAATCTCGCACCAGATCAATCACACTGACAGTCTCTCACCTCAAAGCTTCCTTCCTGTGGCTGCCCCAGCTTCGGTCCCGCCCCTAATGGCTGTCTCTTCCACTTTGTCGGCTTTGAGAGCCTTCTCTGGGTCAATTAGGGAGTTTGTGGGCTCTCTGTGACCACCAGAGCGCACTTTCTTTCTCAATCACCCCTCCAAGATGATTCCAGTCTCAACGGACCAGTCTGACAATGTGGATTCGATGCTGTCCCTCGGAGCTCCCCAAGAGACGTGCCGCCTTGCTGTGACGCTAGCCATCACCCCCCAGCATGAACACCTTGCATTTGACTAAGTGACTTAACATGTCTTTCATGAGTGGGAGGTGTTCTCCATGCAAACAGCATTAATTCCACAAAAACTTTCTTCTCTTTAAACAGCATGGGGGCTGCCACTCTGGACGTTGCCGGCTGGATAAATCCCCGCGCCAGATTGGCATCGATGTATTTCCATAGTGCTTCCATTTTTTGGGGAGTCACGATGTACATCTTTGGCATAGGCAGTTTGGCCCGTGGCATGAATTTGATCACATAGTCTGTTGGGCAGTGAGGGGGGAGAAAGTTGCAGTCTTTGTCACTAAAGGCTCCTGACAGGTCCCAGTATTCCCTGGGCACTTTTGGGCTGTCAGGTGGTCCATCTATGGCAGGGGCTGCGGCCTCGGGCTTGCTGGTGCTGCCAAGGTCCGTGGCCTTTTGACAACTGTCCAGCTTAATAGGTGGTAGTGGCCTGATGCCTACTCTTAGCTTCCTGTATCCATCTTCCCATGTGATGGTGGGTCCCCATTTGTCCAGCCACATGAGGCACAATATAATTGACTCGGTCATTTATGGGGTGATGACAAATTGGATGAGCTCTTGGTGGCAGCCCATTTCTAGCCTGACGAGTTCTATCAGTCGTGTGGCCGGGGCTCTGCCTATCAATGTCCCATTGAGCTGTTCAAAGCAGATGGGGCATGCTAGGGGCCTCGTGCTAATGCCTAGCTGTTCAACTCTGGGGAGGCAGATTAGACATCTGGTGCAGCCAGTGTATATGATGGCTTCTACCCCCACCCCCGGGCCCCTGTTTCTAGCACTACTATCTGGGTCTTGATAGTGAAAGGGTGGATGGCTACACTTACCATCGTGTTGCTGCTGCCACTGCTTCCTTTGGTGGAACTTGGGGGGCATTTGGGAACCCCTCGGATGCCGCAAGCTTTTCGGAGCTCTGGGTCGAGGGCCTCTTTGAAGTGGTGAACAAGGAGGCACTCCGGCCAGTCTCTCAGCTTCCCAGCCAGTCTTCAAAACTCCCAGATTAACTCCTTGGGAGGTCGGCCCACTTGTTTCAATGCCTTGATTTGGGCCTTGGCCTCCACTCGATGGGCCATGTCTTTGAAAGGGCCTCAGAGCAGCTGGACAATTTCGTCCACATCGTCAGGCTCAGGGGCTACTTCATCATGAAGCTCAGCTATCCAATCTTCCACTTCTCCCTCATTCATGCCATCTGCAATCTCAGAAATCAATTCCTGGTTGGTTGGGTATTGATCTTCATAATGATCAATATACACTCAGACTCGGTTGAGGAAATAGGCTAGCCAGCCAGGGTCCCATTAAAGGTCACCCTTAATCTTGTAGGAGTGGCTGGCGGGATGGGCTGTTGGGCTGTCCCAGTTGTGGTCCTTGCATCGCCAGACTAAATTGAACCATTGGGCTCTGCTGCTGCCCCACTCCGAATCCCGCATGGGCTACTTCTGAAGAAACTGGCAGACAAGATCTCAGAACCACTGAACTATATCTTTCAGAGATCCTGGAGCACCGGGGAACTACCAGAGGACTGGAAAAGAGCTGATGTGGTTCCCATCTTCAAAAAAGGGAAGAAAACATATCCAGGAAACTACAGACCTATCAGCCTGACCTCAATACCAGGAAAGATTCTGGAAAAGATAATCAAGCAACGAATTAGCAAACATCTAGAAGCAAACAAAGTAATAGCCAAAAGCCAACATGGGTTTGTCAAAAACAGATCATGCCAGACTAATCTTATTGCATTCTTTGATCATGTGACAAAATTAGTGGACCAGAGGAATGCCGTCGATATAGTTTACTTGGACTTCAGTAAGGCATTTGATAAGGTAGACCATAACCTACTACTAGATAAAGTAGAAGAATGTGGGTTAGACAGCATCACCACCAGATGCATTTGTAACTAGCTGACCAACCGCACTCAACATGTAGTCCTCAAACTGCAGTGGAGTACCCCAAGGCTCTGTTTTGGGCCCAGTACTCTTCAACTTCTTCATCAATGATCTGGATGAGGGGATAAAGAGGGAACTCATCAAATTTGCAGATGACACCAAGATGTCAGGAATAGCCAACACTCCAGAAGATAGGCTGAAGATACAGAAGGATCTTGACAAACTTGAACATTGAGCACTATCTAATAAAATGAAATTCAATGGTGAAAAGAGTAAGGTTCTACATTTAGGCAAGAAAAACGAAATGCACAGGTACAGTATAGGTGGTACCTTGCTCAACAGTAGTAACTGTGAAAGGGATCTTGGAGTCCTATTGGACAACCATTTAAATGTGAGCCAGCAGTGTGTAGCAGCTGCCAAAGAAGCCGACACAGTTCTAGGCTGCATTAACAGAGGGCTAGAATCAAGATCACGTGAAGTGTTAATACCACTTTATAATGCCTTGGTAAGACCACACTTGGAATACTGCATTCAGGTTTGGTCACCATGATGTAGAAAAGATGTGGAGACTCTAGAAAGAGTGCAGAGAAGAGCAACAAAGATGATTAGGGGACTGGAGACTAAAACATATGAAGAACGGTTGCAGGAACTGGGTATGTCTAGTTTAATAGAAAGAAGGACTAGGGGAGACATGATAGCAGTCTTCCAGGGGTTGCCACAAAGAAGAGGCAGTCAAACTATTTTCCAAGGCACCTGAGGGTAGAACAAGAACCAATGGGTGGAAATTAATCAAGGAGAGAAGCAACTTAGAACTGAGGAGAAATTTCCTGACAGTTAGAACAATTAATCAGTGGAACAACTTGCCTCCAGAAGTTTTGAATGTGCCAACACTAGAAGTTTTCAAGAGGATGTTGGATAACCATTTGTCTGAAATAGTGTAGGGTTTCCTGTCTAGGCAGGGGGTTGGACTATGTTAAGTCTATCCCCGTTAGGAGACTAGAGTTCTGCAGCAGAAGTTAGTAACGAATAAGCCGCTGAATAGTCACTCACAGCCACCGAAGGTAAAACAAATAATAGCTTTACTTGCGTAACAAAAATAGGATAAATAGTCTCCAAACAGACTATAAGCAGTCTTGAAGTATATACACAGTCTATTTACAATACGTTGAAGTTACAGTTGCTCAACTCACAATTCACCATGTAGACAGGTAACTACTATACAGACTAGCTACCATCCAATACACGGTCTTCTCTCCAAATACTAGGCTCATACAGTAACAGTCAGTAACTATCAGGAACAAACAGGAGAATCAGGAGCATCAGGAGAAACCGAAATAGTTCCTACTTTCTTATATGGCTGCTTAAAGCAAGAGCATCCAATTACGTCTCTCTTACATCTAACGTAACAGATACATTTGTTACAATCATGGCTTATATACATTGTCAAGCCAAGACTAGGGTTACATCCCTAACATTCTCCCCTCTTGGGTTGCCAATGTATTTACATACAACTTCACATCCTCAATCCATAATCATCACAACATTTCTTGTGTTTTATAGCACCTTGTGCCTTAGTGAAATGATCAGCTATATTGTGTTTTTGCCTAATAGACTTCCATCCTATTAGTGCCTTACGTAAAAACACAGCAATACCAGATGTTGACTTCCCTGTCTTAACATCTGTGGCAAAACTTGCATCAGCATTAGCTGACAACATAAAATCATCAGTAGGTTCCAAATACAATGCCTAATACATTGTCCCTTATCAAACATAGGACTCCTTACATCCATGTTGCCAAAATCCTGACTCATCGGGGTTTACATAATTCCCATCCATAATGGTTTACATAATTCCCATCCACTCTTTTTACGCTTATATACCCGTTTACAGCCTCTTTCATGTTTACCTGAAGGTAAATTAGCATTCTCAAACACTCCTAGATCTTGCAATGACTTACACTCCCTATCCATTGCAGCTTGCCCTACCTTTTTATCCTCAGTTGGATCCATAGTCAGTTTATTGTATGTAGCAGGCACCTTATCCACCTGACATGCAACAGATGCTTGATACCTATCACGTGGCCGCGGTACCCTAGTTGTCCTTCTGGGCAATACAGGGCTTACAGGACTATCCTGAACGTCCTCCTGCTTTATTACCTCCTCCTCCTGAGTAGACTCCTTCCCTTCATCAATCGTTTTTGGTGTTTCTGATCTATAGTTTTTGTCTACTTGGGTGTCAATGACTACCTCAGTGCTAGTTTCTAGTCTGTTCCAGCCGACATGTTCGAGAAACTTTGCATTAGCACCATGGTAGATCTTCATTGTCCCTTGTTTCCAAAACCTATAGGATCTGTGGTTTGAATCATAACCTACAAATATTAACTGCCGTGCATGAGACTGTCCCTTTGACCTAATCTGTGCTGGAATATGAACCCATGCAGGAACTCCAAATGTATGTAGCTAGTTAAGGTCAGGATTCTTACCATGCTACCAGTGACCTGCGGTGAAGCTTATGGCTGGTGAGGCAAAAAGAAAAAAAGCAGCTTGACAGCGGGCAAAAAGAGATTTAAAGGAGGAGAAGCTACCGGGAGGGTGAGGGCCGGTGCGGGGAGAAGGACCAGTAGACGATGCGGCGCTGCACAGGCTCCGGGATGAGCTCGAACCGCTCCTCCACCCGCTGGAAGGGCCACTTCTCTGCCACACGCCGCGCCACGATGTCCAGCAGGGACTCCGGGCTCTGCGTCTTGCCCAAGGGCAGCACTCCGAACGTGGCATAAGCCGCGGCCAGGGCAGAGGGGAAAGCGGCGGCAATGGAGGAAGCGGCAGCGGTGGCCGATGAAGTTCCCGTGACGCAAAGTGCCCTGCCNTTTCATCCTAATGCAGTGCATGCAATTGAAGAGTTCATTTCTGTGTCTCTTTGTGCAGGTCATTCATTGCAGCAAGTTGGTCTGTTGGTGATGTTGAAGACAGGCAAGGACAATCATCTTCCTTCTGTAAGTAGCTCTTTTATTGTTGTGTGTACTTATTTTATTCTTATTTAAGTAGTAAGTGCACAAAATAATAAATTTACTTTTTTAAATATCTTTTTGTAGGTCATTCATTGGGGCAAAGAATTCAGTGACATCAACTTGGCCACTCACATGACCGCCAAGTGACTCCCACCTGGTCACATGACTGCCAAGCGACTCCCTCCCAGTCAAATGACTCAAAAAATAGGCCATGCCCACAGAACCGGTAGTAAAAAATTTTGAAACCCACCCCTGCTTCATATCCCAACTCTTCACCCAACTCTTCACCCAGGTAGCTTCAGACAAAGGGTACCTTTTCCAATGAACTAAATATTGCAATCAACCTCTATAAAATTTAGATTCTAAAATCTTTTTTTACTTCATAATGGGTTTCTCCTTGCACCACTATAGGTTTTGGAGGTGGCTGAGTCTGTGGTCTTAATCTAGACCCGAGGACTGGCTTCAGCAGGCTACAATGAAAAACAGGATACACTTTCCCTAGAATGTGGGGGAGGTTAAGCTGAACTGTCACTGGGTTAATTACTTTCACTATTGGGAAGGGACCTAAAAACCTAGGTCCCAGCTTTTTGCTAGGCAGTTTCAGCCGTATGTATTTGGTTGATAGAAAAACTCGATTTCCCACACAGAAAAGGGATTGAAGAAATCGGTGTTTCTCCTCTTGCTTTTTATACTCCTCAGTGGCTTCTGCCAGTGCTTTTTTCATATTCTCCCACCCCTTCATTAGCGACTCCATCCACTTGGTGAAAGTCATGGAGGAAGGGGGTTCTCTGGGCAGTTCAGGCATAGGGACAAACTCCATGCTGCTGGTGACCTGGAAAGGGGTCAATCCAGTGTGGCTATGCATGGTGTTTGTCAGCCTCTGCTTTGCTGCTGCTTTGGCTGCCATTGAAACGGGGAGGGNCCTGCCTAGGCAGGGGGTTGGACTAGAAGACCTCCAAGGTCCCTTCCAACTCTGCTATTGTGTTGTATTGTAATTCACTTCTTCCATTATTCCTACTGTTTGCCCCACAAATGGGTTAAGAGCTTAACTTGAAAATTAGTACAGGTAGTCCTCAACGTACAGCAGTTCATTCAGTGACCATTCAAAATTACAATGGCACTGAAAAAGTGACTTATAACCATTTTTCACAGTTACAACTTTTGTAGCATACCCTTGATCATGTGATAAAAATTAAAATGCAACTGTTCACACTTATGACTCTTGCTGTGTCCCAAGGTCATGTGATCACCTTTTGCAACCTTTTGACAAGCAAAGTCAATGAGGAAACCAGATTCACTTAACAGCTGGGTTACTAACTTATCAACTGCAACAATTCACTTAA